AGGAGAGCTGTCAATCAATAAATTGGAAAAAAAAGTAACTTGCGTTACTTATTTGAAAAAGTAACTCCGATATTCCCTTGTAAATTAAAAAGTAATGTGTTACTTTACTAGTTACTTGAAAAAAGTAATCTGATTACGTAACTCGCGTTACTTGTAGTGCGTTACCCCCAACACTGCACATATGTCCAAAGCATCACATCACTATAGGAAAGTCCAAAAAACATAATACTCTGCTGGTACAGTTATAATGTCAGATGGTACTTTGGTATACACCAATGTACTGAAGGTTTACCATAGTATGTGCATGATACTTTAAAGAATACCATGAAATTACTATGATACATGTCAAAAACATTAGTATCAGATAATATTGTTGTACTTTGATATATACCGTGGTTTTGAATGATTGTCATGTTGATATACCTAGTACTCTGAAGAATGCAGCTGAATTACCACGATGATTCACACAAAAAAAAACACATTACTATTTTACCACCATACTACATGTCAGAAAACATGGCATTACCATGGTAAAGTCCTGAAAACATGGTACTGTGGTGGTACTTTAATATATACGGTTGTACTGAATGATTGCCACGCTGATATACAACGATATTAGATAGTAATATCTTGTTTTTCTACATTATTGTAGTAATTTAACAGTATTTAATGTTACCAGATTATAAAACAACATAATATCATAGTACATGTTAAAATTGCCATGTTAAAGTCCAAACAAACATAAAAAAAAAAACATACTTTGGTGGAAAGGTTATGATGGGAGGTGGAATTTTGATATATATTGTGGTAATGAATGATTGCAGCATTGATAGGCCTATACCATGGGCTTAGATATTACTCCAAGGAATACAGTTGAATTACCATGATAATGTAAAAAAAAGAAAAGCCTATGATATAACTGTTACCATATTATAAAATCACTAATACTGTCCTGTTACATGTACCATATCATAACCAAAATGCATGGCATTAGTGTAGTAACTTCAAAAAACATAATCATACCATGAGGTATGTTTTTTATTCTATTAAATGAAATCTCACCTGTAGTGCTGTCATCACTTGTTACTGAAGTGTTAGATCATCTTATTGCACGTAGCTTGAATGTAATTGTTTTATTTCCATGTGATTTTTGTGCAAGTGTTTGCATTTGAAATGTATAGAATTATGTAGAATTATGCTTGTCGGCACCATATGACAGCAGGTTCTGTTGCTTAACTGAATCATGGGTGCCAACAATTTGGTATTATTTGGTAGCAACCAATAGGGCTGGATGATAAAAGAGCCAAATATAGGCCTATATGGTAAAAGTATCTATATACTTATCACATTTATTTTTAATATATAATTTAATATTATAAATAATTTAAGCATGCTTTAATAATTGCACTTTTTACATGCACAAATTTAATATTAAACATCAATATTTCCAATATTGAATTGTGTGTGTGTGTGTGTGTGTGTCTGTGTCTGTGTGTGTGTCAGCAGAAGTCTGTTTATGCACACTCTGTAATTTCACATTTTCTGAAAGGTCAAAAACAGACAGACAGTCACTAAACCAGTTGTGCCAGACATCATAAAAAGATATGAATCACAGGGCATTTTAACTAGATTTGAAAAGTTCTTCTATTAAAGAGATCTTTGTCATTATTAAGTCATCCTCATGATGCTCCAGTCCAAACCCATATGCCTTGCTTTCTTCTGTGAACTACAAAAGGAGATGTTTTAAAGAATGTTCATGCTGCTCTTTTCAGTGCAAAGATACAGTAACCAGGAGCTTTGAATCTTTAAAAAGGATAAAAAAAAATGCAATGTAAAAGTAGTCTAGGCAGCTATATTTTAAGTGTTTCAACAGACAAAATTCAAGTTGTCATTTGCTAAAAATCTTCTCCTCTATCCAAGCTCTTGTATGTTGTTTGTGTTTTGCATATTCAAATCAGCAAATCATTGCACAACAAGCAAAAAACTGACTTGGTAAAAATTAATTTAGTTTTTTTATTCATTTACTTAAAAATGTATTTTTTGTTAAATATCAAACAAGTCGTTAAGACTTATTTATGGTACGTTTTGTCATTTTTGTAGTACAGCTATATGAAAAAATAGCAGCATGAACATTCTTCAAAATATCTTCTTTTCTGTTCCAAAGGAGAAATTAAGTTTTTATTTCTCCATAGGAGAAATAATGTCTTGGAACAACACGAGGGCAAGTAAATGATGACCTTTTTGGGTGAATTATTCCTATAAGTCATTAAGGTCGGACTGTTTTTCTCTTGAAAAGATCTGAATATTGTGATTCAGTCAGTCTGTGTGTGCAGTTTTATTTTTTTTCCTGTGCTGTGAGACTTTGAGGGATTTTTGGTGCTTTTGTGGTTTTGAGTTTTCAGCTTTGATAACAGATCCTCATATCACAGCGCTGTCAAACTGTTTCTCAGTCCTTGAACACAATGCCCTGGATTGTTACTGTAGAGCTGTGTGGAAACGGCAGAGAAAAAAAAGACAGGAAAGCCGTTTTACAGAAAGAAAGAACGAAAATCTCATGTAGGTCAAGGCTAACCAGCTGCTCGAGTGAACTTTACAACCCCAAGGTAGCATTCCCGAGTCCAGCAACTCCCTCGTCACTGTGGAACCATTAATTGTGCTCTGTGTGTGTGTGGTTTGTCGGGATAGAGCACCTAAATGGATGTTAAGGTCCTGCAAATTACAGTACCGTGATCATCTGTATGAGCATGCTTAATGTGATTCCCACATATAGTCTTACTGTGAAAAAAACAAAACAAAATCAAAGAAGTGTATGGTAAAAAAAAATAGGTTGCCATAACTTTGAGGTGAAAAAAATGCAACATTATAAGTTTTACAGATATAACTTAAATTTACATAAAAAATGTAGCCTATATTTCATTAACTGAAATAATGATAATATACCAAAAGACTAAAATCTGTCGCATGTTGAATCAAAGTTCATAACAAGTAGATTTTCCTCAAGCTGAGATAAATACTTCTATATAGAAGGTGCAGAATGTCACTAACACAAAACGCCATCATGGTAACACTCATTAAAAAATGCTGTAAGTATTTATTTAACACAAGATTAAACAAAGCCCCTAATGCACATAGGCCTAACTGATATGAAAAAAGTAGCCAGAAACATTTATTTCAATAAAAAAAACACCAAATGTGTCAAACATGTCAAAATTGTCACACAGGGAATTTTGGGAATGTCAGCTGTACATTAAACAGCAGTGGTGCTGTAAAATGTCTCATTAGTAATTACAGATTTTCAGTGTATTTTCATTAACCAGTTAACTGGTTTTCACTGTAGCATTTCTACAGTCTTTTACTATTAAAATGACACTCATTTTTTTTTTACAGCGTGAGAGTGCTGTCTAGGACAGGACGTTCTGTCTTGACTGTTCTCTGCCAGTTTCACTGGTTTTCATTTTATGTACCATGAGTGCCATGGGTTTCACAGATTTTTATTTTTTTTGTGCTGTATCACTGTTTCTCTTGCTTAATAATTTGGAAAAATCTCTGACATAAAGTATTAAACCTTGGTGTGTAAGTCGTCGTTCAGCATTTGCTGTGTCTCTAACACTGATCTGATCCCAGAGAGCTCTAGAACCCTGTAGCCAGTTCATTAACAGCTTTCTTTCTCCATCTCTGTGTGTGTGTGTGTGTGTGTGTGTGTGTCTCAGTCTCGGATGCAGACAGCTCAGACGGCCTGCAGCTGAAGAAGGAGCATGCCTTAAGAATCTTCACTTACATCAGCACATGGACACAGAGGTCAGCACTCAGTCATTCGCATATTCAATTCATTAACGCTTTTAAACATACAGTTACTCATTCATTCCTTGATTGGTTTGTTTAGATGTTTATTTGTTCATTTCTCAATTGCTCATATGTCCAGTTAATTCACTCATGCATTCCCTCAGAACTCATTCCCTCATTGACTTCTCACTCACTCGGATGTTTATTCCTAACCTATTACTCAAACAATCAGTCATTTGTCATTCATTCACTCACTGCAGTCTGTCGTACATTCATTCATTCACTCATTCAATTGGTTGCAGATTCATTCACTGACACATTCATTGATTCCCTTGTCTACTCACTCACTGTATGTATTTATTAATTTATTCTCATTCGCTCACTGATTTGCTTACTGATTCGCATACTAATTTGTTCACTGATTCACTCATTCATTTATTCTCTATGACTCACTGACTTGCTCATTCATTAATTCTCATTTGCTCTCTGATTCACTCAATGACTTGCTCATTCATACTTGTTTCATTCTGTCACTGATTCACGCCCTCATTTATTCATTGATTCGCACACTCATTTCTCATTCACTCACTGTCTTGCTCATTCATTCATTCTCATTTGCTTACTGATTTGCTTATTCTTTAATTCTCATTCTTTCACTCACTAATTGGCTTATTCATTCATTCTCAGTTGCTCGCTGACTTGCTCACTGACTCACTTACATTCTCATACATTCTCATTCTTTCACTGATTCATTCACTGACTCATTCATTCATTCTTATTCACTTACTGATTCGCTCACTGATTTGCTCACTGACTTGCTAATTCATTCATTCTCTTGTTCAGTCACATGCTCATTCACTCACTGATTCATTCATTCTCATTCGCTCACTGACTCGTTCATTAATGCATTCTCAATCGCTTACTGATTCACTCACTGATTCGCTCATTCATTTATTCTCATTCTCTCACTAATTTGTTCATTTATTTATTCTCATTTGCTCACTGACTTGCTCATTTGTTCATTTCTCTTGTTCACTCGCATACTCATTCATTCATTCATTCGTTCATTCATTCGTTCATCCATTCATTCATTCATTCATTCATTCATTCATTCATTCATATGTTTTCTACTCCATCCTGCATCATATTGTTGTTTTCTTTGTCATCATCGACGTTTTTTCATTAATTAATATGTTTTGTGTTGTTTGGATTGAATTTAAACTCTGTCAAGTGTGTTAAACAGAACTGAGTGTACTACGATCTCCTTGGTAGCTGATATAGCACCGTTAAAGTAGCCAAAATATTTCATAAACAATGTTGTAAATGATGGGCTGACGACCGATTCTTTCCGTGTTCATCTGCAGGCAGTGTCTGTGCTGTTTCAAGGAATACAAACACCTCGAGGTGTTCAGCCAACTGGTTTATGCCCTCATTAACTTGGTCATTGCCCAAGTAACCAACCTTAGGGACGGTCTACACAGTGGCCATGACAACACTAGGACTGAGGGGGTGGAGTCTGAATGGGGCTCCGCCCAGCCACAGCCGTCGCCCAGTGAGGATGAGCCACTGAATGTGGAACGGGACTCAGCTGAAGAAGATGGTGGAGTGGAGGATGGAGATCAGCACAAGAACCAAAATCAGGGGGTCAAACCGGATCCCCAGCCCAAGCTCAGTGAACCCACGGCGGGTGAGAGCGGGAACGACAGCGGCCTGGACCCGTTTGCATCCTGGAGCACAGAAGACCAGGAGAAACTGCTGCTGTGCGCTGCCAAGATCTTTCAGATCCAGTTCCCCCTGTACACGGCCTACAAACACAACACACACGCCACTATAGAGGTAATACTTGCTCATATAGGAAACCGTTTTCAACAGTCTGGATTCCGAGGTTTTTTTGAGGCCTTTAAAGTTCCAATTGTGAATTGGATTTTGAGATGTTGGCGACTTGGCATTGCACTCAAGCTTGCACTCAATTGTGGAGGGTTTAAGCAGATGAAATGATCGGAGAAGTCTCTATACGTCACCAAAATGGATCCTTTTACTCATAGATTCAGTTATAACATCTTGCAAGGTCAAAAAATTTAAAAATAAAACATTCATGGATTAAAGGGGACATGAACTGCCTTTTTATTATTTTGTACTGTTCTCTGAGGTCCCCTTATAATGTTATAAAGATTTTTAAATAAAAGAAACGTAATAATTTAGAAGTAATAAGTGATGTTGTGTTCCGTTTTTGACCCCCCTCATCAGAACGCTCTGTTTGAATAGGCATGGTGGATTGTAGACTTGGAAATAAATGCCCACTGCTATGATTGGCTAATAGTTGTGTATGTTTGACAGTGTACATCGTACACAGATGGACGCTGCTGTGATTTAGGTTAAAAACGCATAAATACTCAGTACATTTCAAACGATCTGTTTAACAGACAAAGCAATAGTGAGCACATAATAAAATAATTTGCGCTCACTTGTGTGTTGCGATATTACAGTCGGATCCAATATAGTCGACACAGCATCGTCTTTTAGTTTCAAAATTTCTGGAAATCCCCTGTCAAATTGTGCTTCGTTTGTAAAGGAATCCTCAGTAAATTGAAGTGAACAAAGGACCGAGTTCTTACTGACGGTCTGGATCTTCATTAAAAAATAAAGTTCATCCACTCTTTCCTAATGTTGGGATGAGAACAGAATGAAGGCAATGCAAAGACTGTGTTTCCACAGCTTGGCACTGCACAGCATCTTGTTGTTTTCAGAGCCGTCTTTATCGTTTGGTTTCTGTGTAGACCTGCTCATTCGCCTCTCTCGTAAACACTACGTATGCAAATTGGTGGGCGGGGCTAAACAGGCAGCGATGTAGAAGCAGGCGTTGATGATCTTCTGCGGAGGCAGTTCCTAGCCACACACAAGCTGTCGTTTTGACAGACTGCCTTCAATATAAGCTGTTTTTAGACTAACAAGAAAGTTTTTAGTTCTAAAACTTAGAGGATGCTTTTTATAGTACAATGACCTCTTATATGTCAAAAGATCAAGGGAATTTTGATTTCTCAGTTCATGACCTCTTTAATAGTTCACAATAAGATCTAGTACATGCATTTACGAAATTTTCATTTAATGCATAACATTTTAAGCCATTATCCCAATTAACCAGCTTCGATATGAATCATATTGATTAATTTGATTCTCTTCAAGGTTGCTTTACCAAAAATGATGACTGAAAAATCCCAAAATTAAAAGATGCTCTGCTTGTGATGCTCCTTCTGTAGATGTTATTGCTTTTCAGTCATGCAGTTGTTCATTTACATGTGCAGTTGTAATCAGGTTATTGTGTAGTCAGAATGACCGATAAAGACTGCTGCTCAAGTATGTACGTGTGCAAGTGTGCGTAATCGAATATTTGATGGATTAAATGCACATCACACATCACTTTTGTCTTTCAGAGCAAGCTCACAACGTCAAGGCCAGTTGTAATAGTTACACATATGTACAAAACGAAGTTGGGCTACAATCATTTTAACATTTTAAAAAGACAAATTACCTAAATCATATTTTTCAAGTGCATGTAAAATCTAATCATTGTTGTCAGTACTGAATACTTGTGCCTGTTCCTAATTTATTTGTAAAACTTTTGCTCTGGAAGTTTTGAAAGCATTTTTACTTTGCCAACCTACCATTTGGGCTCAACATAAGCAATAACATAAGTGTTATGTGTGTATATTACGCTCTTCCAGTTAGTGCTTAATTATTGCTGAATGATTTGGATGAACTGAATAACCTCAACAAATCCTCAAGACAAAAACAAGCTGTTTTCTGTTGAAAAGTTGAGTATGGTTTTATTTGGGTCGCTGTCTTTTTTAAATATCCGTTTGTTGTTTTTGTCTTCAGGATATCTCGGCACAAGAGAGCAATATCCTCGGCTCTTTCTGTGATATGAATGTAAGTCTCTCTCTCTCTCTCTCTCTCTCTCTCTCTCTCTTTCACACACACTCATTATGATGGGCTTGATTACACCGTTTAGAGATAATTCATGACCACAATAGATGCTGAGTGGATGGAGCAGGACTAGATTTAACTGACTCTGAGATCACAGCTAGGTGTGTCCTGTGTGTGAAAGTACAAGATGTTCCCTCCTTGTTTAGATGTCGGCTAGCGTGATTTATCTGCGCCCATGAATCATCACAGGCTTTAGTAATTAAATACAAACTATTCATACTCAAACTCTATATAAGGATGCTTTCCAAAGCTCCTTTGAGGTCATATAAAAAAGACTCACATCTTGGCATTGTTTTTAAGCCTGTAAATAGTCTTGCCTGCAACTATTTTGATTCATCTGTTGATTATTTCTCAGTCTTTGCTTGAATTGTGTGCAAAGTATTCAATAATATTTAATATTTTTCCACACAACATGTACACTTTATTTTAATAAAAATAATAATTAAACTTGACATGCAATAATAATATTTTATAATATTAATGATCATTATTATATTATATTAATGTTGTGATTATTATATTTATTACAACAGTTTATTATATTACTTAAAAGGACATTTGTCTGGTAATTATGACTATATATACATATATTATTATATTATTGTATTAATAATCTTAATGTTATGATTTTAGTACTAGTTAAGATATGGCCTTCATACCCCATGTTTGCTATATATAATGTTTTTTAAAAATACAAAATGTTAGTCTTATAATATAAAATAATCTAATATTATAGTCACATCATATATATAGTGTATTGTTGTGATGATTATATTATTACAGCAATTTAGTATATCACTTAAGTATATTTTTTGATTATTGTATAATTGATTAGTATTTTGAAAGATACTAGATCACATATGGTTTTCATACATCATGTTTACTTTAATGTGACAGTCATATAGTCACATGACAATATCTGTTAGTCATATAATGTAATATTATATACATACAATATAATGTAATATATGTTAAGTCATAAGAACAGCTCGACGACTCGAGGTTTTTGTGCTTTATTCATGAAATACAGGCTGAATGAATTTCTGTGTAAACTATTCATAAAACCATTCAATTCAGTGCATTGATTTGCATAAAAATTGTTTTCTGGAGAAGTCATTGTCAGTCTCACTCGTGATTGGCCAGTCAGTGAGATCTTCTGAAGAATATATTGATTAAACTAATTTGGTCATGTGACCACACAATCATGCTGTTGAGATAAAGAGTGTTTTTTTGGGGGGCATAATTTAGGAAAATGATTTGGGTGTGTTTTAAGAATTATATTGTGTGTGTGTGTCTGTGTGTGTTTCAGGATGTGGAGGTCCCTCTGCACCTGCTGCGATATGTGTGTATGTTCTGCGGGAAGCACGGCCTCTCTCTGATGAAGGACTGCTTTGAGTTCGGCGCTCCTGACACTCTCCCCTTCCCCATCGCACATGCCTTCATCACCATCGTCTCTAACGTGAGTCAAAAAAACCTAGTCAAATTAACCAGAGTCTGACTTGTTAGACCCGTAACCAATCAGAGGTTATTCTTCTGTTTGTACAGATCAGAATATGGTTGCACATTCCCGCTGTGATGCAGCACATCATCCCTTTTCGCACATACGTTATCAGGTAAGAACACCTTTCTGAACTGGACCTAAACCTTAATTGCCAAGTGGAATATCTAAATTAATATCAGAATATCAGGAATATGTGTTTCATCTAATCGATCCTTACTGATTGACTGAGAGATACTCTTAGAGCGCTGCCGCCAAGAATCTGCTCTCTGCTGAGTTGCTAGGAAGAGCATCCCTCACCATAGCAACAGTCACCACGGCTCTCCTCACATGACCTTGGGGGGAGCCAGACGGCTGGCAGGGGAGCTGAGAGAGTGCTGGTCATGTGACTCGAGCCAGACAGGATTAGAGCAGCACACAGAGACTCACAGAGAGAGAGTGTATTAGTGTATTCACACGGAAACCTCCAGTTTTTCTGAGATTTCTGTATCATGTTATGTATTATTAAATTGTAAATATTCATCCATCTTGAAAAGTAGTCAAAACCACCATTATATTATTACATTTTAATTAGTGCTGTCAAACGATTAATCGCGATTAATTGCATCCAAAATAAAAGTTTTTGTTTACATAATATATATGTGTGTGTACTGTGTATATTTATTATGTATATATAAATACAAACACATACATGTATATATTTAAGAAAAATGTTGTTTATATATTAAATATATTTATCTGTAAAATAAATAATATTAATCTAAATATATACATGTAAATATTTTAAAAATATATACTGCATGTATGTGTATTTATATATACATAATAAATATACACAGTACACACACATATATATTATGTAAACAAAAACTTTTATTTTGGATGTGATTAATCATGATTAATCGCTTGACAGCACTACGTTTTATACAAATCTACTGGATTGAGTTTGTAGTGTCACTTCAAAAAGACTGGACAGATATATTATTTATGTTATGTTATGTTTGCACATTTAGATACAATTTATCATGTATGATACATATATAATTTTTTTTAATTAAATATTATGGGGTTTTTTTCCTTTGCAAAAGGAAACTTTGAAATAAAAGAAATAATAGTGAAAAAACTGGAAATCAAACTGCTATTATGTAACAAATTACATTATATTGCTATATATTTTTTGAAAAAAATAGTTCTGTAAATGTAATTGTCAAGCCACTGAAATGCTCTGTCATTCAGACTGTTTTGCTGGATTTTGTTTAAGGTTTTGTTTGTAATTCTTTATAAATACAAAGGGATTTTTGATACATATCCTGAAAAGAATGCTTCAGGTTTAATACAAGTTAAGCGTGCTACTGATTAGAAAATACTTTTAACTAGTCCCTCAGTTTGAAAAAACAAATCTAAATTGCAGTTACAGCAATGCTTTTGAGTTGTCAGCCTGTCATTTTGAAGTGGGTCATTCTAGGTGGATGACCCTTTGTGATCAGTTGTTTTTATGCACCTGACTCATGCAGTCACACCTAACATATGAATCTCTGTCTATAGGTATCTGTGTAATTTGTCGGATCAGGAGCTGCGTCAGAGCGCGGCGCGTAACATGGCCGATCTGATGTGGAGCACGGTGAAGGAGCCGCTGGACAGCGCGCTGTGTTTTGACAGAGAGAGTTTGGATCTGGCCTTCAAATACTTCATGAGTCCAACGCTCACCATGAGACTGGCCGGCCTGAGTCAGATCACGGTACGAGACACAAAAACACAAGAACTCTTCTTCCATTGTCTCCAGCCGGTGTTGAATGATCTGTGCTTGTGTTCCTGTAGAATCAGCTGCACACCTTCAATGACGTCTGTAATAACGAGTCCCTGGTGTCTGACACTGAGACGTGAGTGTTACGAGTCCACTGGTTTCAGTAGTTCAGTCAATCTTGATGTGTATTGACATCTTTCTTTCCTCTTTCAGGTCGATAGCAAAGGAACTCGCTGATTGGCTCATCAACAACAATGTTGTAGAGCACATATTTGGACCAAATTTGCACATTGAGGTGAGTCCAGTAGACTTTCATAGTTTCTTTGGACGCTGACTAAAGGTTTATTATTTCTGATTGTGCTCGTCTTGTTTCTGCTGTAGATCATTAAACAGTGCCAAGTGATCCTGAACTTCCTGGCAGCCGAGGGCAGGCTGAGCACTCAACATGTGGACTGTATATGGGCCGCCGCTCAGGTGCGCACACACACACAAAAACTAATTTCACATGAATTTCACATTTTTTGCATAGCATAAATTTGTAAAAATGTGCAGTAAACTATCAGAGCACACTGTAAGTAACACTTGATCCCACAATGCTGTGGGATATTTGTGGTTTTATTTAACAGTAACAACACTTACATTCTGTGCAACAAGAAACATTTTGAAATATTCAATTATCCTATCAGAAATAAAAATATTTAATTTGCATTTTTAATCCAATTTTGTGAGCAAATAAAGTGTTTTGGAAGTCTATTATTATTATTATTATTATTATTACATTTATTTTCAATATATATCACACTTTTAATGTGATGAATGCAACAGAAGTATAAACTATTTTATTATAATGGACATTATATATATATAAAAAGTTATAAAATTAAAAAAATACTTAAATTACTGAATTTAAAACTGAAAGCTAAATAGAAATGTTAAAAACACAACTAATTAAAATGACAAGAGCACATAATAAAATTACTAAAACATAAACTAAAATTGTCATGCAAACCACAAATATAGAAATAAAATCTCATTCAAAATAGTAATATAAATAATACTAAAACAACACTGCAAGCTATTTTTTCTTTCCAATTTCCAGTAGAGCCATTACTATATCAATATTTTATCTATTATGTTTGTCCTCACAAGTCAGTTGTAGAGATTTTATTACATTTTAAAGTAGATTTTCTGATATTCAGCCCTTTTGATCATAGTGGGGAAACAAGAGCACAGACACTCTTTCTCTGTTCGGCCTTTGATTCTCATTTATTTCCTCATACAGTAGTGCTGAAATGGCCTCTCTGTCTCTGTTTTTAGCTGAAACACTGCAGTCGCTACATCCATGACCTGTTCCCCTCGCTCATAAAGAACCTGGACCCTGTTCCTCTGCGGCACGTGCTCAGTCTGGTGTCAGGGTTACACCCCAGCGCACACACTGAACAGGTACCACACGCTCTCACACTGTATCTGCACATCTTAGAATTACACACAGTCACTTTAGTCATATAGATGACTGCTCTCACTAACATACTTTGAAATAGACTAAAATAGCTGTATTTTTACCTGGCTATCCAGTATGTGTTTGTTGAGGTGTTTCTCTGCTCGTGTAGACGCTGTATTTGGCGTCCATGCTGATCAAGGCCTCGTGGAATAACGCTCTGGCAGCCAAAACTCAGCTGTCCAAACAGAGCTCCTTCGCCTCCCTGCTTAACACCAACATTCCCATGGGCAACAAGAAAGGTGTGTTGTGTTTGTCATCTGCTTTTATGATGTGCATGCCAAAGAATTGGTTTTTGTGTATTCTGAGTTTTTAAAATTATTCTTTTAAATTTAGATCAGAGTCCAGGAATTGTATTTTGTTTGTTTGTTTATTTATTTATTTAGCCCCTGTGGTTCAGATATGTATCTGAGTATACATAATTTTAGTTTTTGGTGTGCAGTGTGCCGACATATGACTCCATTGCGTTCTGGCCGTCCCGAGTTCATATCTATCTATCTATCTATCTATCTATCTATCTATCTGTCTATCTATCTATCCACAGTAGCTCAGATAATCATGTCAGTGTAAAGCTTCTGTTAAAATGTTTTATTTATTTATTTTTCACAATCGGCTCAGATTATCATCTATAAAGAGTTTCTATTATAATTGTATGTATTTTTTTACTCATTTATTTAGCTAAAATGAGTAACTATGGTTCAGCTCCCAGGATCTTAGTGTAGCCAGTTTTTTGTTAAAATGGTATTTTAATTTTCCCCCAGGTTCTCCTGCAGGAAGCCCGGAGAGCAGTGACAACAGCGACACGTATCACAGTGGAGGAAGTGACATGGAGATGGACGAGCCAATCATGAGCAGTGGAAAACGAGGGCAGCAGAGGCTGTCGGACACGGAGGTAACGCATTTTCCAAAATATGATTTGAAAACAGATGTCACTCAGCTTCATTTGAGTGGTTTTTGCCGTTCTGCAGGAGTCTCTGCAGGGCAGTTCAGACGAGACGGCCAACAGCGGCGAGGAGGGCAGCAGCAGCGGCCGCAGCGAGGCGTCCAGCAACGAGGCTGGATCCAGCCGAGCCAGCCAATCAGCAGGCAGCCCGGGCAGCGAGCTGCACTCCGACGACATGGCTGACAGCGAGGCCCTGAAGGAAGAGGAAGAGGAGGAGGAAGAAGAAGAGGATGACGACGAGGATGATGAAGACGACGATGAGGATGATGAAGATGACAGGCCAGCTGTCGCCTCCGAGGGCAGCCCTCAGAAAGAAACCCGAGACTCCAGAGAGCCGTCTACATCAGAGCTGCGCAAACGCAAAGCCGGCGAAGCGCTCGGAGAGGTCCAGGGTCCTCCGGAGCGACCCGGCATTCCCGGCTCCATCGCCTCCACTCCCGGACTTTCCAAAACCAAATCCATTCCCTTCACCCCCGAGGCAGCCGCTGCCATGGTAGCCTCGTCTTCCCTTAGGATCCTTGAGCCTTGTTCTTCTTCATCCATGTGCCTGGAGGAAACGTCGGGAGAGCAGGCTGATCCCTCCTCACATTCCCAATCCCAGAACCCCCAGCAACCTCAGCAGGGCGGCACAGAGATGGGCTCCTCACACGGAACGTCTGTTTCCCAGGAGCCACCCTGCATGCCTCGACCGGCAGACTTCCTGACGGAGGCCATGGGCAACGAGCTCTTCAACTGCAGGCGTTTCATCAGCCCTCAGCATCACCATCATCATCACCACCATCATCATCATCATCACCACCACCATGATGGGTTAGGTTACCTCTTAAATGTGATTTTTACGTTACCTCTGTTCCAAAACCTAGTGATCTCCCTAGCTATCTACATAGGCAGCATCCTAACTCTGATGGAACCTTTTTGGGAATTGCCTTCTCCAAGAAGGTGTCTTAAAAGGTTGCTTTGATGCCTTAAAGTGTTGTCTAGGTAGACGGCTCACTTGGTTTTTATGCCATTGTGTCTTCTGGTAACCTACTCTCAACACAAACTCTCACTCTCCACAGTCACATGGTAGAGGACATGCTGAGCGCCGATGACGTGAGCTGCAGCAGTTCCCAAGTCAGCGCCAAATCTGAGAAGAACATGGCAGATTTTGACGGAGAGGAGTCTGGCTGCGAGGAGGAGCTGGTCCAGATCAACTCGCATGCTGAGCTCAGCTCGCACCTGCAGCAGCACCTGCCCAACCTGGCCTCCATATACCACGAACATCTGGTGCAAGGTACGTACACATCATCTAAGACTGCCGCCACAGTGCTAGGATGTTCCAGGTGGTTTCTAGGGCATTGCTAGGTTTTAAGTTTTTTTTCTAAGGGGTTGTTAGTGTTGCTCTATGGCAGTTAGCGTGTTCTGGGTGGTTTCTAGGGTGTTGCTAGGTTTTTAAGGTGTTTATATGATTACTAGAGTGTTGTTCTGTGGTAATTTTGGCGTTCTGTGGTAATTTTGGCATTCTGTGTGTTTGTCAGGGTGTCGCTCTGTGGCAGTTAGCTTGTTCTAGGGTGTTGCTAGGTTTTTCAGTTGTTTCTAAGTGGTTGCTAGAGCATTGCCCTGTGATAATTCAAGTGTTCTGTGTGGTTTCTAGGGTGTTGCTAGGTTTTTAAGGTGTTCTAAGTAATTGCTAGAGTGTTGTTCTATTGTAATTTGGGTGTTCTGTGTGGTTTCCAGGGTGTTGCTAGGTGTTTAAGTTGTTTTAAGTGGTTGCTAGTAGGGATGCTCATTTCGGTTCATTTTCCTGACCGACAACCACTGCTCGTTATCTGAACATTAAGCGTTAACTGATACAATTAGAATTATAAATTAGTATTAGCCTAAATAAAAATAGAATGGACAAGCATCAGTGATGATACATTAAAAATACAAACATTTAATTTTAACGTGCAAACAAAGCAACAGCAAAACCTGGATTCACACACCCTCAAATTATTACGCAGCAGCGCTTCTGAGAACAGAGAAAAACAGAATAAAATAATATAAATAAAAAAAGAATAAAATAAATAGGCCTAGGCCTACACTAAATAGCCTATATATCAAATAAATAATTAACAAATTAAGATGACAAAACTCAAACACACACTGAATCCTTCTATGCGCTTTGAAGAACGGCATAGTCATTTTCCCGTCAGACATAAAAATATATAGCAGGCCTACCTCAGTGTATGTGTCTATTTTATTACATTTTTTTAAAGGGGTCATATGATGCGATTTCAATTTTTCCTTTCTCTTTGGAGTGTTACAAGCTCTTGGTGCATAAAGAAGATCTGTAAAGTTGCAAAGACTAAAGTCTCAAATCCAAAAAAATAATGTTATTTTTAGCAACATCATATGACCCCTTTAAGTAACATGTCGACATGCTGTACGGATATACTGGAGTGCTGCCTGCTAATTGTTAGACCCGCAGCAAAAACACCATCACAAAAATCCCATCAATTTGCAGTTCGGGACTTTTCATCTACTGGCCATATGTTTCTATTCACAGCGTGTTTGCAGCAGCGTTGAGCAATATAGCCAATCACAGACGTATCTGTTGATTTCATGAACGCAATCCACTCACCCCACCCAAAATGCCGGTGTTCTGCTAAGTTCTGCACAATCGCGAATTCTCTCATTAAAACAAAGAAAGTGTAGACGTGATGTAAATAAGAGATTAATTGTGCAGTGTAAAGCTTCTTTAATTATTTTTAATTAACTTTCTGAGATCGTGATGATAGCCTACATCAGGTAACTAACTAAGTGAAGGGGAAGCAGGTGCTTGCTCAGCGAAATATGCACGCGGCACGTGTCGACACGTGCCCTCGAGTAAACAGATACTGTATGTATAGCATTATTTTTTCTTTTTCCATGCAGCAAACTTAAAAATATTTGTGAAAAAAAAAACATGGCAAAAAAACTTTTAAACCGTTTAACTGATAGTATAAATCGGGTAAAATTCTTACTTTCAGTTAATGGTTAATGGTTAAAGGCACAATATGTAATTTACGCCACTAGAGGGCGCGTATTCAAAATAAACAAATGATTACACAGAGTGTGGAATCATGGGAGTTGTCGTCTTCATCCCCACAGCCGATGCAATCCGACGGGACTCGGGCAGAAATCATGTTCATGGATGAGCTAATGATTTATTAAGGTAGTAGAATGAAGCAGGGCGAGGCTGAAAGCCGTCGAAGCGAAACGAGGCCGCTGAACGAGCGTGACACACGGCTCGAAAGCAGCGGAGCTTTTATTATGCCACAGTCGACCGCTTCCGCTCCTTCCGGTCGTGCGTAGCAGCGCTGTTTTATCATACTAGATACATTTGAAAGTTCTGTTATAATGCTACTCTGTGCGGTCGTCACCGGTCTATTAAAACGCACAACATATTAAAGCGGAAATCGAGGGGTTATGACGTCATTGGCAAGCGACACAATGACACTATGGACACGCTCCGTGTCACTAGTTAAAATTGCTTATTTCTCTGGATTTAAACATTCTTCGAAACATTTGGGATAATGTAAGTACACAAGTCAGCAATATATATAACGCTGTTCTAGTGGTTTTTGGATATTTTAATAAAAAAATCTTACATATTGTGCCTTTAAACGGTCAATATGAGCATCCCTAGTTGCTAGAATGTTGCTCTAAGGTGATTTGGGTGTTCTGGATGGTTGCTAGAGCGTTACTAGGTTTATGTTGTGTTTAAATACGCTACATGACTTTTAAAATCTGAACAGATTTTTAAACACTAGGCATCGTATACTTGCCGACTTTGTAAATAGTGGTGACAAAGGAAAACTGGCCAGCATACACTACACGCCTGAGGATGATATACTAGCAGTCGTTCTGATCACATCAAACTCACACAGAAATGTATGCCTTGTTGCTAGGAGACGCTTGACAAATGAAAACAACGTGTTCTAAAATCGTCTGAAAATATCAAATCGGAGTCTGTGACCATCATACACTACGTGATTTTTTTAATGGAAACTGTCAACTCAAATCTGCAGGCTGGCTCTGACTTTCGGCAACTAGCGTCAACTTCTCCAGACCGTAAATCGATGTAAAAATCGACGCAAAAATCGTGTAGTGAATTTCAGGCTTAAAGTGGTTGTTGGGATGGTGTTCTGATGGTTTCTAGGGTGCTCTAAGGGGTTGCTGTTGTTGAGTCTACGGTTCATTTTACAAAAACTCAAATTTGACTTTAAACAAAAGTCACATGATAGTTTCTGTCTGATGTTCTGCTCCAGGTCCAGCTGTGCACAAACATCAGTACTCTTCACACGCGGTGACTGACATCAACCTGGACAACGTCTGCAAGAAAGGAAACACCCTTCTGTGGGACCTGGTCCAGGACGACAGTGCGGTATGTTTACCTCGCAGCAGACTATTTGAAGTATTTAACATTTAGATTGTGATTCTTATGTGTTTCTGGTGTTGTCTTGGTGACTAGATCCACCTGTCGGAAGGCTTGATCAATGAGGCAGAGAAGCTGTTGTGTTCTCTGGTCTGCTGGTTCACTGACCGTCAGATCCGCATGCGTTTCATCGATGGCTGTCTGGAGAACCTCGCCAACCACCGGTGAGACCATCACAGATTTATGAAGTGCTGTAGGAAATTGCTGAAGAGGTTTGGGTTTTTCTAAGGTCCAGTAGGAGATATTTGATGGTTTCGTTTCTGCTTGCGTTCATCAGGTCAGTGGTGGTGTCTTTGCGTTTGCTGCCAAAGCTCTTTGGGACCTTCCAGCAGTTCGGCTCCAGCTACGACACTCATTGGATAACCATGTAAGAAACTCCGCCCACCACTGCTCTCCATGTTGTTATTAAGTGGAACTTAAGAACACTTTACAGATAATTTTGTGCTACAGGTGGGCGGAAAAGGAGCTGCACATGATGAAGCTCTTTTTTGATGATCTGTTACACTATATCCAGGAAGTGAGAGAGCAGCGCCACAAATTCGCTTTGTAAGTTTGGTGTCTTTATTTCTATATTACTGTTCAAAAAATTTGGGGTCGGTAAGATTTTTTTTCAGTGTTTTTGAAACATAATTCTCACCAAGCTTGCATTTATTTGATCAAAAATTTTGTAAAAACTGTCATATTGTGGAATATTACTTTAATTAATTTAAAAGAACTGTTTTCTATTTGATTATATTTTAAAATGTAATTTATTGCTGTGATCAAAGCTGAAATTTAAGCATCATTACTCCAGTCTTCAGTGTCACATGATGCTTCAGAAATCATTCTATGCTGATTTGCTGCTCAAGAAACATTTTTAGTTCTTATCAACGTTAAAACAGTTGTTTTAAATAATTTTTCCAAAAATTTTGCAACATTATAAATGTATTTACTGTCGCTTTTGATCAATTTAATGCATCCTTTCTGAATAAAAATCTTAATTTCTGTAAGAAAAAACAATGTTTTGTCTGAATTGTGTGTATGAAGTGCTGTGTTAACACCCCGTGTGTCTCAGGTACAGTCACAGCGCGGAGGTGCAGGTGCGTCTGCAGTTCCTCACCTGTGTGTTCTCAACGCTCGGATCACCTGACCACTTCAGTGAGCATCTCTCTTTATCTCTCACACACCGCTGCATGTGAGAATCACTCTATATGTAACTATATGAATATCCTGCCTGTGTGTGTGTGTCAGGGTTGAGTCTGGAGCAGGTGGACATCCTGTGGCACTGTTTAGTGGAGGACTCTGAGTGTTACGACGACGCCCTGCACTGGTTCCTAAACCAGGTCCGCAGTAAAGACCAGCACGCCATGGGCATGGAGACATACAAACACCTCTTCCTGGAGAAGGTCTGGTCACCGTATCATTGAAACACATCTTTTATACAGTACATGCCGTGAGAATGAATCTTTCATCGGCTGGTTCTCTCCCTCTCTCTCAGATGCCTCAGCTGAAGCCGGAGATGATCAGCATGACGGGACTCAATCTGTTTCAGCATCTGTGTAATCTGGCTCGTCTGGCCACCAGCGCCTACGACAGCAGCTCCAACTGCGAGGTTCACAGCAGCGGATCTCAAAATCTCGCCGGCAGTTTCTCTCGATGTGTTCTCCCTGACCGTTCTCTCTGTCTTTCTGTAGTTGTGTGGTATGGATCAGCTGTGGGGAATCGCGCTGAGGGCTCAGTCTGCAGACATCAGCCGCGCTGCCATCCAGTACATCAACTCCTATTACATCAGCGGTCAGTAAACGCCAAGCATGATTCATAACCATTAAACATTTACAATTTTGTAACCTCTCAATTTTCGTCATCAAATCACCTGTATTTTTATAGCCCTTTATGCAATCGAGATTCAAAGCAGTTTGACAGTATTAAACAAAGGAACAGAATAAGTGATTCAAACTTCAAAAATGAAGCAAATCCAAATTTTGCTATAAATCAACTGGCAGGACAGTAGTGTCATTATTTATTTCAAGTCAGTTCAGTATTTGTTCGGTTCAGTTCAGTAACTGTATAAAGTTCATTCATTATGAAACAAGTTCAATTCAGCGATAAGCAGCTCAACTGAACACACTGGTGTCATTATTCAGCTGATGTCAGATCAGTGTTGATTTAGATTAGATTAGATGCAAGAAGAAACCTTTTTTTAGCCGCTTTTAATACTGCTAGACATTTTTAAAGTACTTGAAATGTTTTTAAAAAAAGTTTTACCTGGAAATGATTGATCTTGTTTTTTATTGTTATGTTGTAAGCAGGGTTATTATCGTTAACTAAAAATATTAAAATCATTTTTGTTCATTTAAATAAAGCAGAAATAAAATGTAAATATTAGATGGAAAAAATTTAAAGTAAACAAAAATGAATGTTGCCTGGAAGTTAATAACTGCGAAAGCTAAAAGAAGAATAAATAAAGCCTAAATAGTAATGTTAAAAATATACAAAATTTAAAATGACTAAAAAATGTAACTGACAAATTAATCAAATGGCAGGTTTTTTCTAACATTATTTGGTTGCATAGTATAAGGGTGCTTTCACACTTGGTTAGATGGCCTGGTCCGAACCCGAGTTCGATTGCTCCCCCACCCCCCCGCCCCCGCTGGACTCCGTTCATATTATTTTATTTGGGTCTGAACCACGGTTTAGACCCCATTGCTTAGTAACGACGGTGCAGGAGAAGGCGGCAAATTCATAACATTGCTCTCTGCACTTTTATATATTTAAGTTTTTGAACCGTTCATTTTGTTTACAAAGCTTCGGTACGTAACGGCACTTACGTCTGTCTTACGAATGTACTGCAAATGATCTAAAGAACGCTGAAGGCGAACTGAAATGAGACATACAGCTCTCTGTTTGCAGCGCGTCAGTCACGCTCGTCAGGAAAGTGAGTGAAACGCACACAAACACATTTTTATCAAATAATACGTCATTAATAGAGGTTCACTTCCGCGATTTGGTACGATTGCATTCACATCATCAGCGAACTGTACCAGAGTTCACTTGAACCGTACCCCAGACCACCCTTTTTAAGCAGACTCGGGTACGGTTCGCGGGTGCGTACCTGAGTTCGGAAGACCGCGTTCACATCATCCAAACGAACCAAACTCTTACTTTGTTACTTTTAAAAGTAATGCATTACAATATTGCATTACTCCCTAAAAAAGTAACTAATTACGTTACTTACTTTTTATGGAAAGTAATGTGTTACGTTACTTTTGCGTTACTTTTTACATCTGGACAGGGCTTGCTTGTTTGTTTTTAAAATAAAAAAGTTCTATTTTTGGCAAATATAAAAGCCTTTTCACACCAAAAGTGAAATGAATAAGCCTCAGGCTGAAGGGAAAGTAAATTTACGTCTGTACAGTAGAATGCAGAAGAAGAAATTTCAACACACTTCAGCAATAAAAAAAGACACAAATGTTAGTCTAGATTATTTTTATTCATTTTGAGGAATACTGAATCTGTTTTTTTTTTGTAGGTTTTTTTTTTGTGAGCGAGATGAATTAATGCATATTCATATTTATTTTAGAACTACAGGAACATCTTCTGATTTCTCTCAACATGTGGACAGGAGAGCTGTCAATCAATAAATTGGAAAAAAAAGTAACTTGCGTTATTTGAAAAAGTAACTCGGATATTCTCTTGTAAATTAAAAAGTAATGCGTTACTTTACTAGTTTCTTGAAAAAAGTAATCTGATTACGTAACTCGCGTTACTTGTAATGCGTTACCCCCAACACTGCTGACGTCAATCGAACCCGGGTGCGCACCAAAAGTGCTTGTGTGACAGCACCCTTAATCTGCAATTTGTCCCATTGGACTTTGATGGTTGTGTTTTTGTTTTGTGTAATGCGATGTATTTATTAGTGTGTGTGACCGCAGGTAAAACGGGTCTGGAGAAGGAGCAGGAGTTCATCAGTAAGTGTATGGAGAGCTTGATGATGGCGTCTGCTAACCTCGAGAAAGATGCCCACTCCAGCCTGACCATCATAGAGAGAGGACTGCTGCTGCTCAAAACACACCTGGAGGCCTTCAGACGCAGGTACACACACTCCGTCACTGACATGAAAACCATGTCTATGTGAGAAATCATGTGGCATTTTAAAATTTTTGGATATAAAAATTTGAACGGACATTGAATAACCTGACAGAATGCTAGTAACCTCTATGACCTTCATCCTGTAAAAGAACACAGTTAAGTGTTAAGTGTGTGTGTTCAGGTTTGCGTATCACCTGCGGCAGTGGCAGATCGAGGGCACGGGCATCAGCAGTCATCTGAAAGCTCTCAGTGATAAACAGTCTCTCCCGCTCAGGATCGTGTGTCAGCCAGCAGGACTGCCTGACAAGGTATGCCTTCATCATCATCATCTTCCTCATCCCTGGTGTCTGCTCAGGCTGGGTTTAATGAAGCTTTCTGTGTGTGTGCAGATGACCATTGAGATGTACGCCAGCGATCAGGTGGCTGATCTGAGGGCAGAGGTCACGCACTGGTATGAGAACCTTCAGAAGGATCAGCTCAGCCAGCAGGCACAGCTGCAGGAGTTCGGTCAGACCAGCCACCAGCAGGACTTCCCAGGTACATGCACACAGAAAACACACACACACACACACACACTCTCTCTACTGGACGACTGTGACTCTATCGCATCTGAACCTCAAACAGAGCGTCCACTGACTGTATGATGTATATAGCGCACAAATGCCCATAAGCAAAAAAAACAAAAAAAAAGTGTGTTTATATATGTATGTATGTAAAATCTTTCATTTATATTTTGAAATTTATATGTGCAGTATTTATTAATATAGAATTTGTTCTTTTTTTCTTTGGTAATTTTATGCTTTGGATATTTTATATATATTATGTAATATAAATCTGTCCATCTGTCTATCTCTCTGTCTGTGTACGTCTTTATACATCCACATCTTATAATTTAAATATATTTAAATATATTTTTGTTTATATATAAATATTTATTCATATAAAATTATTCTTTTTCAGTGATTTTATATTTTGGATATATATAATTTAAATGTAGAATTTATATATACAATATTTAATAATATATAAATTAAATATTAATTGTATGTATGTATATCACGAGCTGACCACTGACTATGATGAGAAGACCCTTCGCGAGCTCGGCTTCAAGGACATGCAGGTGACCAAACAAATCCACATACACCTGTGAGTCCACAACACTAGACATAAAATGCTAAGAGACGTTTGTGTGTGCTGTCAGATGGTGTTCGTGTCTCTGGGCGCTCCGCGGAGGGAGAGGAAGGGCGAGGGAGTCCAGCTGCCGGCGTCGTGTCTGCCGGCCCCTCAGAAGGAGCACATCCCCATGCTGCTGCTCCTGCAGGAGCCCCACCTCACCACCCTCTTCGACCTGCTGGAGATGCTGGCCTGCTTCAAGCCGCCCGGCCCCGACAGACCCCAGCACAGCACTGAGGTAACATGTCAAGTCAAGTCAAGTCACCTTTATTTATATAGCGCTTTTAACAATTGCGCGTTAAATATCGCATGCGATTAATCGTGCAGACCTAGTATACAGTGATCTCTTATGGGCATTTGTGAATTTGTAAAATGAGTTAAAACCTCAAAAGTTCAAATGAATGTTCATATGGCAACATTTTGTTGTGGGATTTGACTGGTAAAGTCTGTGCGTGTGTGTTTATGTGCAGGTGGTCTGATGGGTCCGGTGCGCATGATCTCATCAGGACACGAGCTGACCACTGACTATGATGAGAAGACCCTTCACGAGGCCCCGACAGACCCCAGCACAGCACTGAGGTAACATGTCAAGTCAAGTCAAGTCACCTTTATTTATATAGCGCTTTTAACAATACAGATTGTGTCAGAGCAACTTTACAGTATTAATTAGGAAAATAGTGTGTCATAATGAAAAAAGTAACGTAACTAGTAATGTAACTAATTACTAATTACTTTTGAAATAAAGTAATCAGAACAGTAATGGGATTACTTTTAAAAGGAGTAATCAGTAATCAGTAATTTGATTACATTTTCAGAGTAACTTGCCCAACACTGATCAGCCACTGTGCCGATGCTTGTATCGAAATGACAATACCACATGATTGATGACGTTTGAAGCTTCGAACGTCATGCAGTATCGGAAAGTCGGGACAGCTGGTTTGAAAAAAATCGGCACTTCGCATGACTCATGTGTTTGACTTTACATTGACTTGGTTGTGTGTGTGTGTACACATATTTGGGATTCAGTAGAATACTTTAGAATAACCTCAACACCAGACAGAACACAGTAGCCAGAGCAAGAGATACGATAGATTTCTTTTGCATATCTGACAGTGTAACATTAAGCATTAGTATTTCAAATGAGTTAAACCTGTATCCTGTCTTCTGAGTAACATTGAGAATATCACTATATATTGTTGCAACACCGCCGCCACGACCAGTCTGACGGGGCTCATGCTTATAACAGTAGCGTGGTGGAGTAGACTCATTTAGACCAATATAATCATTTGGTTTTAGCCAGGTTTCAGTCAAGCAGAGTACATCAAAACGATTATCTGTGATCATTTCATTTACAATAACTGCTTTGGGTGAGAGTGAGAGTGAACATCCGGCCCCATGCCTCAGACCCGGTCCAGACTGAGTTAAACCAGCATCCAATCCAGTATGTTTCCTCCTGCAGAGTGTTCGCTGTGAGGAGCTGCACCTCCACGCGGAGAATCTGTCCCGCCGAGTGTGGGAGCTGCTCATGCTGCTGCCCACGTGTCCCAGCATGCTCCAGGCCTTCCAGAACATCTCCGATGACACGGTCAGTCACATGACCCATGCTGCCCAGTCATTTATTAAGAGATTTCTAGAGTTTGTTAGCCTGAACATGCACACTGTAAAAGCAGATTTTTTTGAAAACTAAGATTATTGAAGCATGTTTTATAATGTATCAGTCTTTCTACAAAATTGCACATTTAATTCAACATATTGAAATTCACTAGCAATTTTCTTAGTGAAAATTAACATTAAATTAAATTTGCATTAAATAGTTTTTTTGGGACAAAACTGAATACATCATGAGAAATGTATGGATTTTTTATACTTCAGAATCTCAAATTTAAAAATCTTTCTACTTCAAAATTTCATGTTTAATTCAACCTGTCGAAACTTATTAGCAATTTCTTGGTGATTTTGTTCTACTTGTTTATTTGCATTAAACAAATAGTTTTTAGTTTTATATGGGAAATGAATACATTAAAATAATAAGACCTTTTGATAATTTACTATATTACATTTGATATTTTTTAATAAACTGCTTCAAAATTTCACATTTAATTCAATGTGTTAATTCAAGTGAAAATTAATTTTACATATTTATTTTGCCTGAAATAGTTTTTAGTTTTTTTGGGCAAAACTGTATGCATTATAATAAGAAATGTTATGTATTTTTCATATTAAATTTCTTTTTTTTTTTTTTTTTTTTTTTTTACACCACCCCTTTTTTTTAGTAATCCACAATTATGCTTTTCTCCCTCCCAATCCCCCATCCCCTCAACCCCTATTATCTTAACCACATAACACAAACGAATGCAAATAACAATAATAATGTAAGTGTAGTTATTAAATGATACAATAAATGTACAAAGGAAAAAACAAAAAAAAAAACAAATAAATAAATAAACAAAACCAAAGAGAGAGAGAAAAAAAAAACTTAATCCTCTTCTGCATCTTCAAGTGACAGATCAATAGTATCAGTATAATTCAAGAAAGGTTTCCATGTTTTATAAAAGGTTTTTAAAGACCCTTTTAATGAAAAACAAATTTTTTCCAGCTTTAAACACAAAATAATTTATTTTATCCATCTATCATATGAAGAAGGGGATGCATGTTTCCACTTAAGGAGAATAAGCCTCCTAGCCAATAGCGTGGTAAAAGCAATAACGCCTTGCGTTCTTGAAGGAAATTCCAAACAGAGCTGTAAAAGGGTTATTGTCATATTAAATTTTATATATGAAGAGTTCATTTGCCAAAATAGATAACTCAAACTCAAACTCAAAAATCGTGTTTTTTCATTGTCCATTCCAATTAATCTCAATCAAACTGCAGTTGGGGTATTTTGATTAGGTTAAAAAAATAACTAAAAAAATACAGCTAACTAACACAATAAAACATGATAACATAATAAAAAACATGATTTTTGAAGTTTGAGTTATCTGTTTTTTCAAATAAACTCTTCATATATTTTTATACTTTAGAAATGAACTTTTTACTTCAAAATTCAAAAATTTCTACTTCACTTTTATGTCAATGTGCCAAGCATTTTCTATTAAATCTACTACTAATTTCTGAGTGAAAATTGTTTCTACATACATGTTTGTTCATTGCACTCTGCATGAAGTTTGATTTGTGCTCACCGTGGCTTTAGGGATCTGACGGTTTGTGCTGGAAGGATCTGTTGAGGATCAAGAGCCCTCATAAGCTGCTCTACGCTTTAGAAATCATAGAGGCCCTCGGCAAACCCAACCGCAGGATTCACCGCGAGTCTACGGTACACGTCCAGATTCACATGCACACATGCGGTCCTGCAGATCTGTAAATGTCCTGTCTCTTGAAACACGTGTGTTTTTGTGTTTCAGGGCAGTTACAGTGATCTGTATCCAGACTCTGACGACTCCAGTGAGGAACAGATCGAGAACAGCAAGAACACTTGGAGTTGTAAGGTACAAACTCCTCCTCTTACACTTCCACTGAAAATCATCTGTTGTTATTGTGTATTCACATATGAACTAGGTAACTATACTCATTTGAACACCAAATTTATGGGTTTTGGTGAAACTATTGTGCGATTTGTAGTTGTTATCCTGTATGTTTGAGTCCATGTGCTCTGTATAGTGTGTATTTGAGCTGAATGACAGACTGCACCTGTGTCTCTCCTGTAGTTTGTGTCGTCTGGAGGTCTTCAGCTTCTGCTGGACATTTTTAACTCTGCAATTTTAGAGCCGAAAGAGCAAGAGTCCTGGACTGTGGTGAGTGTCACGAACACATCGGTGTCATATAACGTTTGCAAGGGCTTTGTTCTTCTTTCCTTTTGACTTTGGAGTGAAGTAAGTCCAGGACATGTTCTTTTCCACAGCTCTGCCGTCAGTTGGACAGCTGTGGATATCATGTGTCTTCTCTTCTCTCTCTGCAGTGGTTGTTGGACTGTCTCGCGTGTCTGCTGAAGCTCATTTGTCAGTTTGCGGTGGATCCGGCCGATCTGGACCTGGCCTATCATGATGTTTTCGCCTGGTCTGGTCTCACGGACACACAGAGGAAGAGGGCGTGGCCAGGGAAGTCCCGCAAAGCCGCGGGGGATCATGGGAAGGGCCTGCATATACCTCGTCTCACAGAGGTGTGAAACTGCTTCTAAATGGATTTTTCTCTGCGTATGCTTGCTTTTTTCTAAATGTTGTGATTGTCTTCTCTGTCAGGTTTTCCTAAGTCTTGTGCAAGGCACCAACCTCATCCAGCGGCTCATCAACGTGACCTACACATACGACAATCTGGCGCACAGGTGAATAACATGTGCAAACACTCCTTTTCATTAATTTTTTTATTTGCTTACAATTTTTCTGTTTTTTTTTATAACCCTTCTGTCTTGTGATTATCCTGCAGGGTTTTGAAGGCCCAATCAGATCACAGATCCAGACACGAGGGTAAGCACATCATTGGTTATATATCTGTGCATGTTTCTACTTTTCTGTCATTATTGGCGATGTTTGATTAATATTTATTCTTAATAATGTTCATGCAGTAACTCATTACTCCATGTGGCTGCTGGTGAGCTGGGCTCACTGCTGTTCTCTGGTGAAATCCAGCCTGGCTGATAGTGAACATCTGCACGACTGGCTCAAGAAGCTCACGCTGCTCATACCTGAGGTAAACGAATGAATGTCTTGATTTGATCCATTTCTGAAATTAATTCTATTGATTAAGGTCACACAAGGACACTAATTAAGGTCGCGTAGTAGGGCAGTCAAAATGGCTGAAAAACTGAATTAGAATTTTGTACTTAAATATTATCAATTGTGCTGGGTAACGATTAATTGCATCCAAAATAAACGTTTTTGTTTAAATAATATATGTGTGCGTACTGTGTATATTTATTATGTATATATAAATACACACACATGAATGTAAATATTTAAGAAAAATGTATGTTTATATATTAAATATATTTATATATAATATAAATTAGATGAATATAAATATATACATGTAAAAATTTTCTAAATATATTCTGTATGTGTGTGTCTTTATATACATAATAAATATACACAGTACGCACACATATATTATGTAAACAAATCAAGCAGAATATTACTAAATATTATTACTAAAATATTACTAATGCACGTTTCTTCAAAGCAATAAAATAAAACGACTACCTTTGAAACAAGTGCATAATGTTTAAATTAATGTTTATAAATCATATATAATTAATTAAGTTACTTAAAAATTAGAAACAAAACAGCATCATGTATGTATGTATAGTTTAATACAAAGGACCGAAAACCAATCACAAAGAGTACTTTTTCATTTAAAAACAAGAGATGCAGTGGGATGGGGAAAACCGCAATAAAGTCTTGAGACATGTTTTTTAAAAATTTGAACTTGCATTAATTTTACATGGCTTTCTAAACATGCGGCTCTCTTGTGTGAGACGCGAGTGCAACGCAACGGTGATAGACGTCTCTCTAGAAAATGCGATAAATATGCGTTCTGTGTGAACGGCTTGGTTTCAGTTTTGATGTAAACAACATCATCTCCGCATTGATGCTCTCTTTTTCCGCAATATTTTGAATAAACAACGTAGCAGCACCGCATCCAGTGGGTTCAACTGTACAGGCTAAAAAAGCATTAAAATGCAATGACACCTACATCGTCATCGCATCTCGTGCGCCACTGATAAGGCTGCCTGACGCACACCTAAAATTCAAATGTAACGTTTTTGCAGTCGAATGTGGATTTATATTTTAAATTTGACGAGTATTCGAAATTCAATTTTTTTTGACAGCCCTATCCCGTAGGCAGGGAACAATTATATCAGCCAATCAAACCATAGCTATTCAAACCAGTTAAAAAAACATGTTCTACCCTGTATTTCCACAAAATATTTATGTGAAATATATTGAATATTCTGTGCAATGCATTTTATTCCAGAAGTTAAATTCGTGTATGAATGCCATTCAAATGGCATTCAAATGCCCAGAATGCCATTTATTTATTAATATTTCTATTTTTAAGTTAAATTTATGCATTTGGTAGATGGTTTATTGAAAGTGACATGCATTGCATTAAGGGTATACGCCTTTTATGAGTTCATGCATTCTCTGGGAATCAAATTCATGACCTTGGCATTGCTATTATCATGCTCTGCTGTTGGAGCTGCAGGAATGCTGTTTCGGATTGTATTTTATCGTATTGTTGTACTGTATCTGCAGACGGCGGTGCGTCAGGAGGCGTGCAGTGGTCTGTATAAGCTGTCTCTGTCAGGTCTGGAGGGGGGAGAATCCATCAATAGATCCTTCTTGCTGCTCGCTGCGTCCACACTGCTCAAGTTCCTGCCAGACGCACAGGCGCTTAAACCCCTGAGAGTAAGTGCTGTACAAACACTGACAATGTCAATGTGCCAGTGTTATTTTAGTATTTATGTATTTAGTATTTATTTGTATGTATGTATGTGAATAAAAATTGATTTAGCTTTTATCTTTATATTTTTGTCTTTCATTTTAATTTTAGTTAAATTTTTTTGGTAATTATATATAGTGCTGTCAAACGATTAATCGCATACAAAATAAAAGTTTTTGTTTGCATAATATATGTTTGTGTTCTGTGTATATTTATTATGTATATAAATACACACACATACAGTATATATTTTGAAAATATTTACGTGCCTATATTTATATTCATATAATTTATATTAAAAATAAATATGTTTAATAAATAAACATAACCTATTTTTCTGAAATATGTACATGCATGTGTGTGTATTTATATATACATAATAAATATGCACAGCACACATACATATATTATGTAAACAAAAACATTTATTTTGGATGCGATTAATCGTTTGACAGCACTAATTATATAATGCTTTGTCTGTTTTTTTATATTTTTAGGTTTTTGTATATTTCTAAATAGTCATTAAAAATTAGAATTCAATTTTTAGAAATGGCATTTTATTGTTCTAAATAGTTGTAAATTATTTTTATTTCAGTTTTAATTTTATTTCAGTTAGTAATTTTAGTACTTAAACATTTATGTTTTATTAATTTTATTTATGGTTGCAAATTTAAATTTTTCTTGTTATAATTTAAATGTAAATTAAAATAAAATAAATAATACAAATTAAATTACATTATGGCTCGGTTTCACAGATGGGGCTTAGCTTAAGCCAGGACTAGGCCTTAGTTAAATTAAGATATTTAAGCAGCTTTAATAAAAATGCCTTAGAAAAACGTTTGAGGTGTGCATCTTGAGACAGAACGATGGCACTGACATTTTAAGATATGTAAGAGCAAGATATTTTCAGTTGAGACGGCTCAAACATGCATTTTAGTCTGGGACTAGCCTTAAGCCTGTGAAACCAGGGTTATATTTCTAATTTTAGAAATTAGCTTTATATCAGTGAACACAAATTTATTTTTTATAGATTTAGTTTGGTTTTAGTTAATGATAACAGCTCTTCTTAAGTGCTGGCTCAGTGTTATTTAATGTTTTGGGTGCACAATTCCTTTAAATGAGTGTAAATGTGTGTCGTTTCGCCGGTGCAGGTGGAGGATTTTGAGGAGGAGGCCATGTTTCGCACCGGCTGTAAGGAGTATTTCTGGCTGCTCTGTAAGCTCATCGACAACATCCATGTGAAAGACACTAGTCAGACCACCCTGCTGGATCTGGACGCTCTGGCGCGACACCTCGCCGACTGCATCCGCAGGTCAAACACGCTCCTTTTGCTAGGGTTACTGCATCAGTTTCCTTCTGAACCCGTAACTTACTCCTTCAGAGCACAACCACGAGCAAACTAACTTTATTAGTTAGACTAGAGCAGGGGTGTCCAAACTGTCCTGAAGAGTTAAGCTCTTACTAGGCATACTAGAAACCTAAAGGCAGGTATGTTGAGGTTTGTTGAGGCAAGTTGGAGCTAAACTCTCCAGGACCGAGTTTGGGCACCCCTGGACTAGAGTGACAGTTTAATGGAAAATCACTGGTAACATTATGCTACTAGAAAGTAATTGAGCAAAAATGTATCATTTATCTTTGTAAATACTGTGAAGCCACTGAGCTTTGAGCATGCTGTTGTTATATTTCTATTTGCAGTCGTGAGATTTTGGACCAGCAGGACGGGGCAATCGAGGACGACGGTCTGACGGGTCTCCTGCGTCTCGCCACCAGCGTCCTGAAGCACAAGCCTCCCTTTAAGTTTTCTCGGGAGGGTCAGGAGTTCCTCAGGGACACGTATGACCTGCTGTTCCTGCTGCCCAGCCTGAAGGACCGACAGCAGCCCAAATGCAAGAGTCCCACAGCCCGCGCCGCAGCCTATGACCTGCTGGTGGAGGTGGTCAAGGGTTCGGTGGAGAACTACAGACTGCTGCACAACTGGGTCATGTCGCAGCACATGCAGGGTGAGCGCCACAACCGTGAGTGCGTTGCAGTGGTTTCCTGTGGACATCTCTAACTTCTGTTGCTTTTAAATTAGGCGGATGAGTTAAAGGAGACATATTATGCCCCTTTTTACAATATGTAATATAATGTGTCTGTGAAATTTCAGCGCAAAATACTCCACAGATCATTTATTATATAATTTTGAAAATGCCTATTTTGAGTGGAAGCAGAAACATGCTGTTTTTCGGGCCTGTCTCTTTAAATGCAAATGAGCTGCTGCTCCCCGCCCTCCTCTGAGGCTGGGACTCTAAACAGTGTTCTGTGCTCGTCTGTGCAGCCAAACACAGAACGGTTAGCATGTTTTGCTCAAACTTTCACCATGGCATTAGAGCTGGTACACCGTTGTCGCTTGTGAAATCAAAATGATGGTGCCATGGGTGGAAACTTACAGATTAAGGGGCGGTAATATTATAATGAGATCCCTTTGCCACATCACCAAGGGAGCGAAATCAGACACGCTCGTTTTCTCAGACGCTTGCAGAAAAAGGCTTACCAAAACAAAGTTACTGGGTTAATCTTTTTCACGTTTCCTTGGTTGATAGATGCACCGGGGACCTGATTATAGCACTTAAAACCTGGAAAAGTCAGATTTTCATGATATGTCACCTTTAATACAATAAACTTCCTTAGTTAACCTTAAAGTACTTTAGCTAACATTGAAAAATTATTCTAAAGCATTAATTATTCACAGTTAATGTTACTTTCAACATGTACTAATGCATTTTTTAAAATAAAAACTTGAACTAACAAGAAACAGGTGTATTTTTATTAACTAACATTAACAAAGTTTCATAAATACTGTAACAAATGTATTGCTCTTAGTTAATGCATCAACTAAGGTTAACTAAGAGAGGTTATTGTTAAGTGTTACAGTTTCTTTTTTTAATCCTAACCCTTATTTAGATCTAGACAATATTAGAAACTAAATCATCTTAATTATTAGCAAGGTTGTCCTTATAAATTGATTTATAAAGCAATAAGCCCCAAGAAGCCGTGGTTTACAGTGAATTTATAACAGCTAAGGGGTGTTGTTAGGAGTG